TATAGTGCATAAAATTAGCTTTATAACGCATATCATATCGTTATAACAGCTATAGAACCCATCGAGATATCGTTAAATAACGATATATGGGAAATCAGTGGAACTTACCCTGTACTGACCTATAGTCAGTACAGCACCACTTACAGCCACTGTTCACAGTGCTATACAGTTAACAAGTTATTACAGTTGACTGTTGTGGCCACTATGGCCACTGGAACCCACTGGAATCCAGTGGAACGTTCCACTGGATCAAGCCCCACTAAGTGTGGCCAGTGCACCTGGCCATAGTGGTCCCAGGGTTACAGGGTAACCCACACCATAGAAATCCATAGATTTCGATGGTTTTTTCGATTATAAATCAACCTTATTACTAATTAACTTGATTATAAATCTAGTTTATTAGTAACATATTCTAGAATGTTTTTATTGGTTGATTTTATGGGTATAAAAGGTAGTTATTCCTCCGTAGTTAATTATTCTTTCCTTAAGCTTCAATAAATCAGTTATACAGCCCTATAACTACCTTCCACGGCCTGATTCTACGAATCATATGAACGCTTCCCTGTGCCTAAGTTTATGATCCACCAATCATACCTTAGAACAATTATCAAGCGCTTTAAATAATTATAACGCTTAAAAAAATAATAAAATTTTTTTTTTATATTTTAGGCCTGGCCGTTATTCCCCGGCGCCCTTTATTTAAGGGGCGGGCGGCTAAAGGTCGGTATAATAATATAAGGATACGGCTAATTAAAAGCGGGGGGCGGCGCCGCACTTTACGGTTTTCCTTACGATTTTTAACGCCGTCGACGTTTACGGGCGCGGTCCCTTTATTTATTATTAAGGGGTTAATAAGCGACGATTATAATTAAATCCCGTCGTCGTTTTATTTAGGCTTATTTTATTTTATTTAGTTTATTTATTTTTTACGGTTATCGCTATCCTTTTTTTTTTCTTTTTTTAATTTTTTTTTAATTTTTCGGTAATTTAGCTAATTATAATACGCGCATTTATATAACCCCCGGCTTTATATTATATAACCGGCTATATTTTATCGATACGCGCTATTATAATTTGGCTAATTAGCCTAATTATATTTTATATATTTTTATTTATATTTTATAGCTATTTAATTAAAGCCTGCGGAATATTTAGCTATATATTTACGTTATTTTTTATCCGGGGGTCGTTTATTTTTTTTAGAAACGCTAGCCTTTTACCCTTTTATTTCAGCCTGTTTATTATAATTTATTTATTTATTTAATTAACTCATTAAGCATTCCCAGCGTTAAGGTTAAACTATTGCCATCTTTATAAAAGTAAGAATTATTATATTTGTTTTAATATCTTTAGTTTTTATATAATTAAACTATTATATCCTTTGCCTTTGCCTTTACTATTATTATTATAATATAAAAAGCGTTAAATTAAACTTAATCTTTTTATAATTTAATAAAGATTAATAAGCAATATATAATAATAATAATAATAATAGCTCTTTTAGCGTAATGCTAATAATTTTTTTAGCGTTATATTAATGGTTCCTTTAGCGCTATGCCAATAATTTATCCAGCGTAATAACAATAACTTTTTCAATATAATTAATTAATATTAATAGCTTTTTTAATATAATAACAATAGCTTTTTTAGCGTAATAATAATAGCTTTTTTAATGCAATTAATTAATATTAATAGCTTTTTTAATATAATAACAATAGTTTTTTTAATATAATAGCGGTGGTTTTTTTAACGTAATAGCAATAGCTTTTTTAATTATAATAGCGGTAATTCCTTGAGCGTAATAATAATAGCTCCTTTAATATAATAAATATAATTCCTTTAGCGTAATAATAATAATTCCTTTAATATAATTATAATAGCTTTTTTAATGCGATAACGGTAAATCCTTTAGCGTAATAACAATAGCTTTTTTAATATAATAGCGGTAGTCTTTTTAACGTAATAATAATAGCTTTTTTAGTATAATAAATATAATTCCTTTAGCGTAATAGCAATAATTCCTTTAATATAATTATAATAGCTTTTTTAATACGATAACGGTAATTCTTTTAATATAATAATAATAGCTTATTTAATATAATAAATATAGCTTTTTTAATATAATATTAATATTTTTTATATCGTTATAATTATAACCGGTAATATTATTATAATAATTACTTTTTTAAATAAAGCGTTATCCCGATAACGTAGCTAACCGCTATTAGCGCCGGTAATTTAGCCGAAAAAGAATTTTATATAATTTATCGCTATTCGTTAAAATATTTATATATTATATTTTAATTTTTCCTTTTAAAATAAGATCGTATTTATTAACGCGATTAACGATATCGCGTTAAAATCGCGATTAATTTTAAGCTATTAGCGATATTTATTCGCTTATTATACGATTTAGCAAAAAAAATTATATTTTTAGCTTTTAGCGGTTTATAATAATTATTTATAATATTATAATATATTAATGTTTATCGCAATTATAAGATTATTTGCTAAAATAATAGGCTATTAGCTATAACGCCCGAGAAATAAAAATAATAATTATATTTTTTTCGATTTGCCTAAGCTTTTCCCTTTTAATTAGCTTATATCCATATATATTAATTAATACCTTTATAATTAAAAAATTATAGCTAATTAATTATTTAATAATAATAAATAAAAAACGAAAACTTTTAAAATATTATTAGCCTTTTAAATATGCGCGATTTTATTTACGATTAATTATTTATAATATACGATAATATTAATTTTTTATTAATATTAATTACGCCGAAAATCGAGCCTTATTGCTTTTCCCGAATTAAAAGCTTTTAAATTACGCCGTTCGCTTTTTTTTATATTATACCCGTAAGGTAAATTCGCGCTTTTACGCGCGTTTTATTATTAGTTAGCAATTCGAATATTAGCGTTATTAGTTTCCGGAGCAACGATATAATATTGCTAATAACTAATTATATATTAAATTATTCGAAAACGCAAATTTTTTTTTTTAAAATTATTCGTTAATAAATAATTTTATTATTAATATATATTAATTTTAATTTCGATAACCGTTATTGCTTTATATTTAATTTTTATAATAACCGCGCTAATATTTAGCTTATTTTAAAAGGCTATATAAAATTTTTTATAAAATAGTTTTTTATTATTTTCGATATTAGCGATAATAAAATAAATTTAAACTAAAGCGTAAATTAAAATAACGATTAAAACGATATAAATTAATTATAATAAAAATATATAAATAATAATAATAATATATAATAAAATCAAAATAACAATAGTAAATACGAAATAATATAGCTATAATTAATATTTTTATAATTAATAGTAATTATACTGGATTTTCTTATTTAAGCCTTTGGGTTAAGGGTAAAGACTTTGCTAATTAGCAGGATATGCCTTTTAATTAATTATATTTCTCCCTTCGGGGATAAACCCTTGTTTCTCCCCTCGGGGATAAACCTTCGTTTCTCCCTTCGGGGACAAATATCCTTTAATAATAAAAATAACCGCATATATTTATATTAAAACGAATCGCTAAAAATAAATATATTAATAATACCGATTAATAAAATATAATAATTAGCATAATAACTATAAAAAGGACTTGTTTTAATTAATAAAAATATTCGTAAAAGCCGGGAAAAAAAAAGTGGATAAAAAATAAAAAGATTAACGCGTATTTAAAAAAAGTAAATAAAAGGATATTATCGATAAAAGTTAAATCGAGCTAGCTAAAAAGGCTTTAAATTACTTAATTAAAGCCCGATAAATACCGTTAATTATTCGCGTTTATCCTTATTCCTTAATCTCGATTATCCGTAGCCTTTAATTTTTTTTTTCGGGCAAAAATTATTATATTATAATATTATTAAATATATTAAAATATAACATAAACGACTTAAGCCTTTTTAGCGCTAAGCGAGCTAAAACGTTTTTAAATAAACCGTTTTTTCGTAAAGCAGCCGAGCTTTATAAGCTTTATATTGCGAAAATACCGGTAAATGCTTTAATTATTATTTAAAATAAAGGTTATAATCGCGTATTTAATTTTTAGCAAATAGAAAAATTGGTTTTAATATTTTAAGCCGGATCGATAAATCGTAATAATAGCAAATATTATTTTTTAGTATTTTATACGTTTTTAAATATCGAGGCTATGCGTTAATATAATTATATAAAAGCATTTAGACTTCGACATCTCATTTTTTTCTAATAATTAAATTCAATATTTTATAATCACGAATATTTAAAATATTATATTTTTAAATTTTATTATTATT